GTGCTAGCCATTTGAGAAGTAAATGTATAAATTAGATGAAACTGAAACTTTATTTGTCAGCAGCATTCAACTGATTCTTTGTTATCTAAATTCAAGTATGCAATGCTCACAGACTCAACTTTCTGTGATTATCAATGATAAATGACAATGAAAAAAGGCACTGGAAGTCTGGTTCAACAGCATTATATAAATTGACAGTATAGATTTAGTGTCTAGAAATCATTCATTCATTTGGAGGCTAGTATGAATTAGTTTGTAAATCTGTTTTCTAATATATTTAATGCTATTTTTTTACTTGCATTTTGATTGCTGTGCTTTTAAAAAAAAAAAAGACCAGAGCACATAATTAAAATATATCACTCTTATTGAAAGAAAGAACTGAATAAAAAAATATTTAAAAAATCAATTAAAAAAAAGAACCGACAACTATTTCTCATGGACAGTTAGTAAGTCAAGCTGCACAGTCTCTTTTTGTGATCACATACAGAGCGGAAATGAAAAAACAAGAAAAAAAAATAAAAGTCATTTTTCTAACCCTTAGTGCAAGTCACAAGGCACTGTCTTGCCTGGTGCCAATTGGCAGAGTTCCCATATACAGTAACTTGTTTACTGCTCTGAAATGATATTTAGGGAGGAAAATATGTCAGCCTTCTTCGCAGATCTCTGATCCCAGTTTACAGGGAAAAATGCAATCCACAGGAATCTTCTTGAGAGCAGAAACAAGGCGTTACTGTACAACTCTGCCTTTCATTTGAAATGTAAGAAGATGATGAATTCAGCATACAGCATTTCCATTACGCTACCCATCTAACTGGATATACTGTATTATTAATAATAATAATTTAAAAAAATCAACTTTATTACGCCAGGACTGGGCTTGTCCTGACTCCAGAATGCAACAGCAAATATTCTGGAAAAGATTCTATCCAGAGATAGGCTTACATTGCACAGCACTGTATATCCTACATGATTGTGAAAGAATATATTAATCCTTCTTATGGAAATTTCCACTTGGCTCTGATTTTTTTTCTCTTAAATAACGATGACATGCTAAGATGTTTTAAACCATAAAATGAAATGTGAATAGTGTTGCTATGTTCTCAAATTCCCATGTTAATAAAGCTTTTTTTTTTATTAGCAAACTTGAATATTTGGCCTTATAGACATGTCACAACTTAACCAACTTATTAAATATGAGAAGCCAAAAAGATTCCAGCCACAGGAATCAAAGTGAGTAATCGTTGTTACGATAGTGAACCGTCATCTAATCGGCTAAACGTGTGAGCACCCAAAAGTTTCTGGACCTGTGTTCTGAATTTTGACTTGTTTTGAAGAGGTTTGTTGCTGTAGTTGTGAAATACTCAGACCAGCTATGACTGAATATTGCTCTAGTGGAATGTTTGTAAAACACTGATCTTTAATCATTTTAGCATAACAAGGTTCAATAAACACAGTTATTTTGGGTACACAGGTTGTTTGATAGCAATATATCCCTGCTATCTGCTGTTCAAGACCCATACAGCCCATATATATAGGTAGAAAATAGTGAAAAGCGCTCCAGGGACTTCATATAAGGTGAAAAAAACAACTTAGCTTTATTCAGCAACTGCCTGAAGTGATCAACGTTTCAGCTCACACCAGGACCGGTGCAAGGACTTCTGTCTACACAGGCGAAAACACATTTTGCTGCCCCCAAAATCTATCTTCACCTGTCTGTCTAATATTCCCACTCTTACCAATTCTTTTGCCCCTTTTGTGCATCTTACCACCTTTTTCTCTTGTTTTCCCTTTTTGTATATTGTATTCCGTTTGGCATTTTTTCAATGTGTTTTGTGTCTTCATCCTGCTTTTCTTTACCCTCTTGCGTCACACACTCACTCGCTCATACGCACACAAACACTGATCATTACACACACACTGGCTCTAACACACACACACATTAACTCTTACAAACACACACACACACTAACTCTTACACATACACACACACACAGACTTACTATTTCTTATAGTTGCTAAACAGAGGTCCTGCTGCACTGTTGTAGCTTTCCTCCTCTCTCCACAGCAGTTGACCGCCAGGATATGATGTCACGTATCCCAGTGGCCTGTATCTCCTCACTGCTCCAACACCTTCCCTCAGTGGCTGCACGTTTCCAAGCCAGCTGATTAGATTGCTGCAGAAATTGACCGGTGGGAGCAGAGTTCTCTGTGCTCCCGCCAGTCACTCTGACATTTTTGTGCCCCTCGGGTCCGTGCGCCCTAAGGCAGCCGCTTGTGCCGCCTTATGGTAGCGCTGGCTCTGGCTCACACATGGAGCTTTCGTCAGGATATACATACATACACCGTATATACTCGAGTATAAGCAGAGCACATTTTTTGTGCTGAAAAAGCCCCACTCGGCTTTTACTCGAGTCAATGTATTATAGCAATGTAAGTTATGGCAACTTACATTGCCATAATACAGACCAGGACCGCCGGGCTCTTTACAAGCCCGGCGGTCCTGTTGGGGGCCGGCAGCAAGTGCTTACTTACCTTTGCAGCAGCTCCGGTCATCTCCCCAGTGTAAATCTTGCGAGACCTGTGGCCGTCTGAGCGTTGCCACGGGTTACCATGGCAACGCTCCGCGAGGCACATAGACCGTGAGATTTACACTGGGGAGATGACCGGAGCTGCTGCAAAGGTAAGTAAGCACTTGCTGCCGCCTTCCCCCCCTTCCCCGCCCCTGGGTTTTCTTAAGCATCTTCTCTTGCCTAGAGATGAGAACAAACCAGGAACCTCAAGTATAAATCTGAGAATATTGGTGTACATTGCCTGGTTGAATTAAAACATAAAAGATAAAGGCTGTTTTGAAGGATGTATTTTTTTATGAGCATTCTTAGTTAAAAGAAGAGGTTTGGTTTTCCTATGCATAAGTGACCGGTTGGACTAGTGATTTCTTAAAAGGGTAGTTGTTGCCCCCAACATTGTCTGGGGTTTTAGTTCTCATTCACTCAATGTCTGACATTGACAACCACTCAGCTTGCCAGAAACAATATCAGGCAGGGTGCCGAGGGAGTTACTGTGAAAAAGAAAATTATACATTAAAACAATAAATCTGGAACGGTTTACTGCAACTGTAGAATTTTTGTTATTGTGTGATTTCACTAAAAAGGTTTGTTTAGTGATTAAACACCTTAGTGTTATCAATGTTTCTCAAAGTATAGATATACAGAGGTATTCACCAAAGTAGAAATGGTTCTGAATGAAATGAAATCTCAAAGTGAATTTCATTATTTACACACACACACACATTCTGCATTCATTATATACACACACTACACAAACACACACTCTGCATTCATTATATATACACACACACAGTGCATTCATTATATACATACACACACTACACAAACACGCACTGCATTCATTATATACACACACACACACACACTACACTCATTAAATACACACGCACACACACTACACAAACACACACTGCATTCATTATATACACACGCACTACATTCATTAAATACACACACACTACACAAACACACACTGCATTCATTATATACACACACACACTACACAAACACTGCATTCATTATATACACATGCACTACATTCATTAAATACACACACACTACACAAACACACACACTGCATTCATTATATAAACACACACTACACAAACACACACACTGCATTCATTATATATACACACTGTAAATAAATATTCAATTAATGTAATTTTATTGGGATCTAATTTTATTTAGAAATTTACCAGTAGCTGCTGCATTTCTCACACTAGGCTTATACTCGAGTCAATAAGTTTTCCCATTTTTTTGTGGTAAAATTAGGGGCCTCGGCTTATATTCGGGTCGGCTTATACTCTAGTATATACGGTACATAAAAAACATAATAAATAACCTACAAAATACACAATCCAACGCACACGCTCATTCACTAAACATTGGGGGTTTAGTTACAGTTTATGATTATACAGGCTATTAGGATAGGACCTGCCAAGAAGGGGTACGCTGATGTTGTGGCAGGCTCATGCAAATTCTGATCATATAATGTAACTTAACCCCCATTATTTTGCCTAGTTGAGGTGTTTTTAAATAGAACGATTACAATCTGTGAGCTTTGAAATCGCTGTTTAGTGAATGAGCGAGTGCTCTGGATTGTGTATTTTGTATGTTGTATAAATTGGCCCCAGCAGCACCATATAATATATGCATGTTCAGGTGTGTGCAGCCCTAGCCATCTTTGGTTTCACATATATATTGTGTTATAGGGATATAAGTCAATTCTTTTGCATGGGTTCACATACATGTGTGAGTGTGACCAATATCAGTGGTTATATGTATTTACGTGGGATGGACCACTCACGGTATATACTCGAGTATAAGACAAGTTTTTCTGCACATTTTTTGTGCTGAAAAAGCACCACTCGTTTTATACTCGAGTCAAGGTCTGTATTATGGCAACTTACATTGCCATAATACAGACCAGGACCGCCAGGCTCATTACAAGCCCGGCAGTCCTGTTGGGGGCTGGCAGCGAGCTGTTACTTACCTCCCTTCACCTCCGTGCAGCCCCTCCGTTCAGCTCACAGTGTAAGTCTCGCGACACCCGTGGCCGTCAGAGCGTTGCCACGGGTTACAGTGGCAACGCTCCGCGCGGCACGCAGACCACGAGACTTACACTGTGAGCTGAACGAAGGAGCTGCACAGAGGTGAAGGGAGCTGGCAGGAGCTGCTGTAAAGGTAAGTACAGCTTGCTGCCAGCCCCCACTGCACAGCCCATCCATTGGACCACCAGGGATTCACATAGCCCCCCTCCATGGCCAGGCAACAAGCAGGGAGGGGGGACAAAAAAAAATATTAAAAAATATTAAAATAATTATAATAATATTAAACAAATATATAATAAAAATGCCCTCACCCCACCCAGTTTACACACACTACACAAACACACACACTCTGCATCATATACACACAGAGTGTGTGTTTGTATGAGTGTGTGTGTGTGTGTATATAATGAATGAGGTGTGTGTATATATAATGCACACACTGCATTCATTATATACACACACACTGCCTTCATTATATACACACACTACACACAAACACACACACACAGTAAATAAATATTCAATTAATGTAATTTTATTGGGATCTAATTTTATTTAGAAATTTACCAGTAGCTGCTGCATTTCCCACCCGTGTCTTATACTCGAGTCAATAAATTTTCCCATTTTTTTGTGGTAAAATTAGGGGCCTTGACTTATATTTAGGTCGTCTTATACTCGAGTATATACGTGTACATATTCTCAGCATTGCTTGCAGTTAGTTAGGGAGGTAATTTTTTATTTGCTATGCAGCCTGTTTGTGTGTGATGTGACTGGGCTGTTTGTGTGTAATGGAGGGACATATGTTAACTGCCATAATGACAAGGAATGTGCTAGTGTGTGTGTGTATATAAACATAGAATGTGACGGCAGATAAGAACCATTCGGCCCATCTAGTCTGCCCAATTGTCTAAATACTTTCATTAGTCCCTGGCCTTATCTTATAGTTAGGATAGCCTTATGCCTATCCCACGCATGTTTAAACTCCTTTACTGTGTTAACCTCTACCACTTCAGCTGGAAGGCTATTCCATGTATCCACTACCCTCTCAGTAAAGTAATACTTCCTGATATTTTTAAACCTTTGTCCCTCTAATTTAAGACTATGTCCTCTTGTTGTGGTAGTTTTTCTTCTTTTAAATATAGTCTCCACCTTTACTGTGTTGATTCCCTTTATGTATTTAAATGCTTCTATCATATCCCCCCGTCTCGACTTTCCTCCAAGCTATACATGTTTAGATCCTTTAACCTTTCCTGGTAAGTTTTATCCCGCAATCCATGGACCAGTTTAGTAGCCCTTCTCTGAACCCTCTCTAAGGTATCAATATCCTTCTGAAGATACGGTCTCCAGTACTGTGTACAATACTCCAAGTTAGGTCTCACCAGTGTTCTGTACAATGGTATGAGCACTTCCCTCTTTCTACTGCTAATACCTCTCCCTATACAACCAAGCATTCTGCTAGCATTTCCTGCTGCTCTATTACATTGTCTGCCTACCTTTAAGTCATCAGAAATAATCACCTCTAAATCCCTTTCCTCATATGTTGAGGTTAGGACTCTATCAAATATTCTGTACTTTGCCCTTGGGTTTTTACATCCAATATGCATTATCTTGCACTTATCCACATTAAATGTCAGTTGCCACTATTCTGACCATTTTTCTAGTTTACCTAAATCATTTGCCATTTGGCTTATCCCTCCTGGAACATCAACCCTGTTACATATCTTAGTATCATCAGCAAAAAAGACATACCTTACTATCAAGACCTTCTGCAATATCACTAATAAAAATATTAAAGGACCACTCTAGGCACCCAGACCACTTCAGCTTAATGAAGTGGTCTGGGTCCAAATCAACTAGGGTTAACCATTTTTTCATAAACATAGCAGTTTCAGAAACTGCTATGTTTATGAATGGGTTAAGCCTTCCCCCTAATCCTCTAGTGGCTGTCTCATTGACAGCCACTAGAGGCGCTTGCGTGCTTCTCACTGTGATTTTCACAGTGAGAGCACGCCAGCGTCCATAGGAAAGCATTATGAATGCTTTCCTATGTGACCGGCTGAATGCGCGCGCAGCTCTTGCCGCGCGTGCGCATTCAGCTGACTGGGCGGAACAGAGGAGGAGAGGAGACAGAGAGCTCCCCGCCCAGTGCTGGAAAAAGGTAAGTTTTAACCCCTTTCCCCCTTCCAGAGCCGGGCGGGAGGGGGACCCTGAGGGTGGGGGCACCCTCAGGGCACTATAGTGCCAGGAAAACGAGTATGTTTTCCTGGCACTATAGTGGTCCTTTAAAGAGAATGGGTCCAAGTACAGATCCCTGAGGTACCCACTGGTGACAAGTACAAGCTTCGAATATACTCCATTGACTACAACCCTCTGTTGCCTGTCACTCAGCCACTGCCTTACCCATTCAACAATATTGGAATCTAAACTTAAAGATTGCAGTTTATTGATAAGTCTTCCATGTGCAACAGTGTCAAAAGCCTTACTGAAATCTAGGTAAGCAATGTCTACTGCACCACCCTGATCTATAATTTTAGTTACCCAATCAAAAAAATCAATAAGATTAGTTTGGCATGATCTCCCTGAAGTAAATCCATGTTGTCTCTGATCTTGAAATATATATATACACATATACATACACATACATACATACACACACACACACACACACATGCTCATAAACCCATATACATAATGCATATTTCTCTTCTGCATAGAGTAGAGTAGGGATGCCAAAAAGATACACCCTCCAAACATTCTAGAACTACAACTCCCACAATGCTTTGCCAGCCTTAATGCATGGGGTCTTCCATTAGGACCCTATAGGCTTGATTTATGGGAATTACTTTTGTTTTTTTTTAATGGCCTTTAATCAACATAGTTAAAGTTGCTGAAGGAATGGTGAAAAGTAAGACTATCAGAAAACAAATCATGCCTGACTCTACCCTAACCTGAACTTTGCTGGCATTCTTGTGAGCTCAGGATTGGGGAAAAAAAAACATTACTTGATTAGCTCTGTGTGTAGTTCTGTTCATGGACAAACACTGTATAACATGTAGCTATAGGGATATTTTAAACTGGTACCCAACACAAAGTGTGTGTTAAACGTAACTTAAATACATTCCTCACACCAATCAAAGCTTTAAAGGACCACTCTAGGCACCCAGACCACTTCAGCTTAATGAAGTGGTCTGGGTGCCTGGTCCAGCTAGGGTTAACCCATTTTTTTATAAACATAGCAGTTTCAGAGAAACTGCTATGTTTATGAATGGGTTAAACCTTCCCCCAAATCCTCTAGTGGCTGTCTCATTGACAGCCGCTAGAGGCGCTTGCGTGATTCTCACTGTGAAAATCACAGTGAGAGCACGCAAGCGTCCATAGGAAAGCATTGATAATGCTTTCCTATGCGACCGGCTGAATGCGCGCGCAGCTCTTGCCGCGCGTGCGCATTCAGCCGACGGGGAGGAGGAGGATCGGAGGAGGAGAGCTCCCCGCCCAGTGCTGGAAAAATATACGTTTTAACCCTTTTCCCCTTTCCAGAGCCGGGCGGGAGGGGGATCCTGAGGGTGGGGGCACCCTCAGGGCACTCTAGTGCCAGGAAAACGAGTATGTTTCCTGGCACTATAGTGGTCCTTTAATAGTTTTTACTAGGAAGATGGATTGGGAGAAGTGACCGCTATCCTTTAAACTTTATTTTCTTTTTATAAGAATACATATTTCATGCACTTTTAATATAATATGAATTTTTCATTATGACATCTATTCAAATAAAAGACATGTTTGCATTATGCGAAGTACAGAACCAGCTTGTATATTTCACTAGTGGATACAATGTTGCAGAGGGCAGTTTAAAGGAACACTTTAGTGTTGCAAAAAAAAAAAAAAATTGGATTCCTAACACTATTGTGTCCCTCTACACCTGGTCTGGGTGCATATCTATAGTGTCCCTTTAACTGTTTCCCTCCACTATATGTATACTTACATTAACATACAACATCGCTTTGCTGAGTAAAACTGAATTGAGCCCATAAAACACAATCTCCCTCTTACTAGTCATTACCTTTGAGAGATACAAATCGATCTGCCAAGGGCTCCATTCTATCACTTTGAATCTCTGCATTGGCACTGTAAATGATACCTTCTCTCCAACCTTCCACCCACCACACACATTTGTAAGTCATACTTCGCAACTACATTCTAGTTAGGGGGGTGGGGATAGGGGGAGAGCTGCATGAATACATTACATGGATTATCTGCAGGCTGGAGTATCAACTTGAAATGTCCTGCATAGTACACATGCTTAGTGTAACTGTACTTACTGTACACTTACTGTACATTAAAACTTCTGTGTCATTTTTAGGAAGTTTTGTTCTGTAAGTCATCAGGTTCCTTAAAAAATATGTTAAACTTACTATATGTAGTAGAAATGGTATTTCTGCTTCTATTGTTTTTCAGACCCTGTTTGCATTTTTATCAACTAAATATATTTTGTATTGTTATTTAAAATAAAAATTATGTGGCATTGTAAAATACGAGGACTAACAGACAGTAAAAAGACAAGTTGGATGCACAGGAACAGAGGGTGTAGAGGGCTCTACTCAAACAAGCTTACATTCTAGAGGGAGTGGGGTAAAGTGGCACAAGAGGTTAAAGAAGGATTTATTTCATGTATGGGAAAAAGTAGGTTAGTAGAATAGTTTACAGTGAAGGGTTAGCTTATTGGATGACACAGTTGCAAGAGAAGAAGCAGGGTGGGTTACAGGGGTGCAGGGAGGTAGAGCTATTAGTAGTTTAATTGATTTGCTTTCATAAAGAAGTGAGTTTTTAATGATTTTTTGAAGGAACTGAGACTGGGCAGAGAGCAGGGAAATTAATTCTACAGTGATGGCACAGCCCTGTGGAAGTCTTGAAGGCAGAAGTATGAGTACAAACAGGTAATAGATGCAAATCTTTGGCAGAGCGTAGAGCCCTGGACAAGAGATACTCGTGTATCAGTGAGGATAGGTAGTTAGATTTGTAAGCAAGCAACAGAACTATTATTTGTGCCCTATCTGTTACGGGAAGCCAGTATAAGGGCTTACAGAGAGGGGAGGCATGTGAGGTGCAGGCAGAGAGGAAGATGAGCCTCACCACCACATTCTTTATATTTTGTAATGGATGAATTAATAAATGAAAATTCAAAATAACACTTCACAGAATTGTAAATTGTTAAAGAATTCCTGAAAGGCAACAGTAATATTAACAGTATTCGGTACAAACTGTTCATACTGACTGACACACATGACAACTAAAATAATCATAAAGATATCCTGGAAAAGTGTTACTTAAACTAAGGAATACTGTGGGCAATACAATACCTCTTAGATAAGCTTGGGACTGTAACACTATATACTGATGATCATTTATGTAAAAAAAAAAAAAAAAAAACAGCTACTAAATAAAAGCATTTGTTTTACTGTAGTTTAAATACGTT